TGTCAACAAGGATCCTTGTTGGTATCCTCTTGTTCCTCAGGACTTCACAAACAGACCAGGAATCAATATGTGAATTATAATCATATATAAAATTTATTGTAGCCACTTACATATAAAAACGATAAGATCAGCAAGACAGCATCAAGCTCCTCATGCCCAGTATATGATCCCCTTTCCGTGTGTAGAGGGCCTCCCGATCACCAGGTAATTCCCCCTTGCTACTCCTATCCAGCACTATCACTTTGTAGCTCTGGGGGACACCTGAAGTGCACCGTTACTCTCCAGACCTCCAACACACACAAATGATGAAATCACGTGCCCTAGACGCGTTTCGTCTCTTCCGGACTTTGTCAACAAGGATCCTTGTTGGTATCCTTTTGTTCCTCAGGACTTCACAAACAGACCAGGAATCAATATGTGAATTATAATCATATATATAAAATTTATTGTAGCCACTTACATATAAAAACGATAAGATCAGCAAGACAGCATCAAGCTCCTCATGCCCAGTATACGATCCCCTTTCCGTGTGTAGAGGGCCTCCCGATCACCAGGTAATTCCCCCTTGCTACTCCTATCCAGCACTATCACTTTGTAGCTCTGGGGACACCTGAAGTGCACCGTTACTCTCCAGACCTCCAACACACACAAATGATGAAATCACGTGCCCTAGACGCGTTTCGTCTCTTCCGGACTTTGTCAACAAGGATCCTTGTTGACAAAGTCCGGAGGAGACGAAACGCGTCCAGGGCACGTGACGTTGCCGGAAGTGCTGCGGCAGCCATTTTGGATTCTGGAATCCCTGTATGGTGTAATAGCCATACTGTACACCAGGGTCATGCAGAGATGCTGTATACAAAGAAAATGATTTGTGATATATTGGATAACACAAACAGTTCTAAAAGTAGTTAAGGTTTAATAAAGGCTATTCACAATTTGAGGTAAGAAATGTCCTAAGAACACAGCTATCACTTACATTCAACTGCACATTACTTCTTCCAATAGACATGGCTTATAATTAAAATGTATGTGACCCAAAACCTTTTTTTTTTTTTTTGCATGTTGGATAAAGTGAAAAAGGATTTGGACCTCTGTTGGGCTTTACTTCTATCTGGGACTTGGTTGCAGGAATTTCCCTTCACTTTACTGTCACAATGACAACAGTTTTCATCATTTAGAAAGTGTGCTACAGAAATCATCTATTTTCAATTTCCAGGAAGTCAAAAACCACCTGACCAGCTTCATGGTCAATGAGAAATTGACAGCCATATTGGATGATAAACATGGTAAATGTTTAAAGATCTGGTCCCCCTGGATAGATCATTGCCAATCTGATTTGAAAGCATTGCAACTATGACCACTTCTTTTCACTTCTGTCTACTCTTGGTACCTGATCACTGACCTTGTAAATAAAGCACAATTTGTTTCACCAAGATCCTCCTGTCACGCTGTGCCACTTTCACCGTGCTCAGACTCATCCAGGGGGTCAAGCACAACCCGCTACTGAGCTAATTCCTCACATTACACTTTTTTGATAGAGTAGGGTAAAGTTAAAATTTCAGGTAGATTTTCATATCTGCCTGGAGAAGAGTGGTGGAGAGTTTCTTCATGTCCCTGTGATGCTCATAAAAAAAAACAGGGGTGTAGACATCACCAGGACAAGAAAGTGCAGACAGCAATCAAAACATTGTCAGAAGTTCTAATCCCTTTCTCATCCTAAAAAATATGGGGGTTTAAAGAATAGTCCTACTTTTGCAGTCAAATTTGAAAAAAAAAAAATAGTATACACTTGTTATGCATTTTCATTCACACATCATACCTAAAAAACAGAAAATGTTCCTCTTAGATGTTTGTCCCAAGTCTGTCATTATTAACAAATAATACTAGAAGTCCAGCCTCTAAACCTTTAAGCCTTTGTTAGGACAGACAGTATTCAAATCTGGTTACAACTAATAATGAAAATCTGCCTGCACAGTACAGAGAGGGATAATTATGGCAGCTGCCCAGTCCCCTCAAACTAAGAGAGATACTTCATTTCACAGTTCCCGAAAAAATAGCATTTAAAAAGGGTAAGCTGAAATGTTTGAATGTTTTGTATGCAATGCTATGTGAATGAGAACGTGTAACAAATATCAAGTAGGTGTTATCCCAATTTGCCTGCTATAGTGGAAGTACACTTTAAGCGGCAGCACAATCTTACTCAAGCAGTGTTGCACCTCTTTTATTAGAAGGATGTATCTGGGAAAGAAAGCCTTGAGCTTTCTATTAGGACTTGGGGGCATTCAATATATTTTTCAACATATTGGGTTAGACAGTTTTTTTTATGCATCTAGGCATATGTATATCTACCTTATTGTAATTAACACAGCCCTATGTAAATGCATTAAAACACAGTAGACTTGGTTCACATAATCATAAATGTGCTGTTTTTATTACTGTGTGCTATTTACTGTACTTTAAAAATTGAGTTTTAGTTCATTCATTCATTTAGTTCATTAAATCAAACATTTTTGCTGCATACATGTTGTTTGAATTAATCAAATCTAAAATTACCCACACTATGTACTCCAATCATCAATCATCAATTCCTGCTATCGAATGGTAGCTGTTCAAAAGGTGAACAAAGCCCCCTTATCAGATATCAAAACGTATTCCCACAGTGCTATCTGATATCAAATCATACAAATAATACATCTACAATTACACTCAAAAAGTGTACACTCAATTACACTCAAAAACTAAATACAGTAAATAAATTAATTAAATAAATTAAAAAGTCTCTCCATGCATACAAATTAAAATGTTCAGTGCATAAATAACCACCAAATCTATGCATCAATATATTCTTCCACAGTATCCAAATTTGTACTTGGTGCCCCCCTCAAGTGTTCCCGCTCTCATTGGAGGCTTATTGACTCCCTGCTGCCAGGACCTGATTCAACAGGCATTAGGAGTATTATCCCTCCCAGATTCTCCTCTCCCCAGTACGTCTTAGTTCCTCTATTTAGATCACTCTCTTGCTTTCAACTCTGATTTGTACAACTCCGCATGGGACTCAATGCTCAGCCATATAAAAGGATAAAGGTGGGAATTCCATTATAATGTAGCAAACGTTATTTAAAAAAACAACAATACAATATTACACTCACTTGATAAAACAGATGTACTCAGGTATGCTTAGAGACCCGGGAGCGCTGTCGTGGCATGAGCGCCATGGGCCGGAAGTGACATTACTGGAAACTGGAATCGGAAACTCCTCCCAGCGTGTTTCGACCCTCTTCTGGGTGTCCTTAGGAACAGATGTATCCAACCTCAACTCTCCTCTTAGGTTACGAAAGCCACTCCTACTCTACCCAATACCTGAGCCAACACACCTACTTTCCTTACATATTTAGATCTAATTTCCTGTGGGTGTACCAAGCTTTATTCCATTTTATTAATACAGTGATGCCTTAATCTTACTGCACCCAATCCGGGGTCACTATACACAGTGAAGGATGCCTTTCTAAGATCATAATATACAATTGATTTTGTATGTATGTAATTTTAAAGTTAAAAACAACTAATACAATAATAGGACTATGATATCAACTAATGAACAATCATATAATCGAAAAAAAATTACATTAAAAATTACAATAAAAAAGCAATTAAAAGAATTCAAAATGAGTTATGAAGCAATTTAAATCTATCTCTATGTTAAGACCCTTTGGAGTTTATGTCCCCAACTCATAGATCTATTTTGTTTCATTCTGCAACTGTCAGGAGCATGTAGTGCTCCTGCTCCATCATATCTGCTGGTTCTAGACTCATGATAATGTGTGTAGTACATGCTCAAGCTCCCTTTCTGTCTGTCTTGCTCTGCTGTTTGGATTCCCCTGTTTATGAGCTTGGATTAGATATCAACCATTTTCTGAACTCTGCCTTCCTTTTGACTACAGATTAGACCCTGTCTACTCCGAATCTTGCCTATCTTGTACTTAGACTGTCACTGAACCACTCTGACTTTCTGTCATTTGCAAGTACCTGTTTTCTGTGCTCAGTTCAGTCCTGCCCCAGCTTGGTAGCCAGGCACCATAGCATTGTGTATAAGTCCTGGGGGCAACCGAGTACCAGTAAGCCTACTTGCCTTATAGGAAAGGGGGCTGCTGTAGGTGAAGAACACAGAAGACAGCTATAGTGGCAAGCCACCTGCATTAGGGGTAAGCGTGAGACAGCTTTCTTCATATTTTACCCCTCCAGTGTTTATCTGTTATCTATCCTGCATAACGTCAATAACATAGGAACCCTATTGTGGTATAACCTAAAATGGTTTGAAAAGCTATGTTTCTTTAACCCATTCTTACTATTGTTTACATGTTTTCCCAAACACACCCTAACTCTCTTGTCATCTTTCAAGATCTCTAACATCCACCAGCTCCGTGATGTCGTCATGGAGGAGTGACAGAGGACTCCAGTGGTAACCTGTGAAGCTCTCTCGTGAACCCCATGCTGGAAAATAATGGGAAAATAATGGTGGCCTCACAAAATATTGACACTTTGGGCCCAATTTGACATTTTCACTTTTTTTGCCAGCGGTTTAGACATTAATGGCTGTGTTGAGTTATTTTTGAGGGGACAGCAAATTTACACTGTTATGCAAGCTGTACACCCCCGCCTGGGTAGAGCGACAGGCATCGGGCCCCCAGGCGGAGCGACAGGCATCGGGCCCCCAGGCGGGGCGGCGGGTGCTGGGCCCCCAGGCGGGAGCGGCGGGCGCCGGGCCCCCAGGAGGGGTGACAGGCATCGGGCCCCTAGGTGGGGTGACAGGCATCGGGCCCCCCAGGTGGGGCGACAGGCACCAGGCCACCAGGTGAAGCGACAGGCATCGGGCCCCCAGGCGGGGCACCGGGTGCCGGGCCGGGCCCCAGGCGGGGCGGCAGGCACCGGGCCCCCAGGCGGAGCGGCGGGCGCCAGGCCCCCCGGCGGAGTGGCGGGCGTCGGGCCCCCAGGCGGAGCGACAGGCATCGGGCCCCCAGGCGGAGCGACAGACATCGGGCCCCCAGGCGGGGCGGCTCGGGCCCCCAGGCAGAGCGGCGGGTGCCATTGGGCCCCCAGGCGGGGTGACAGGCACCGGGCCACCAGGCGGGGCAGGACAGGCACCGGGCCACCAGGTGGGGCGCCGGGCCCCCAGGTGGGGCGGCGGGGAGCTGGGCCCCCCCAGGCAGGGCGGCGGGAGGCGGGCCCCCAGGCGGGCGACAGGCATTGGGCCCCCAGGCGGGGCGCCAGGCACCGGGCCCCCAGGAGGGGCAACAGGCATTGGGCCCCCAGGCGGGGCGACAGGCATCGGGTCACCAGGCATCAGGTCATTTGGCTCGCCAGCGGGCACCGTGTCATCTGGCAAGGCAGTGGGCACCGAGTCACCAGGCACGACAGTGGGTCCGAGTCAACTGGCATGACCGCGGGCACTGGGTCAGACATTGGATCGTCTGGCTCGACAGCAGGCATTGAGTCACCAGGCATAACAGCGGGCACTGGGTCATCAGGCATTGGATCGTCTGGCTCGACAGCGGGCATCGGGTCACCAGGCATGACAGCGGGTACTGGGTCATCAGGTACCGGATCATCTGGATCGACAGCGGGCATCGAGTCAACTGGCCTAATGGAATCATCAGGCTGGATCAGTTCATCAGGCTGGGTAGAAACATCATGCTGGGTAGAGGCATCAGGACTGCATCACTGGAGGCATCAGGCTGGGTGGAGGCATCAGGCTGGACCACGGAAGGCAGGTTCTCAGACGGCAGGCTCACCGGTTTGGATACTGGCAGGATGGTACTGGTTGGAAAGAATTTTCGCTTTTTTCTGGTTTTAACTACTGGAGCACTGCAAGTAAACGCAGGTCTGCAAACGAATGGAGCAGCTGAGGACAGAGAAGAGCTGGAAGATGGAACAGAGGAGGGAGCAGTTGCTACAGAGGACTTTTTTACAGGGTTAAAGAAAGGATAGGTGCAGCGAGTGGGAACAGAGGACTGGTATGTGGTAGTTAGAGTATACTGGGCAGTCACTGGGGGTGCTGTCGGGGATGCAGGAAGAGTGCCTTGAGCAGAGGAATGACGTTGCAAGCTGACTGAGGCTGGGTGCAACAAGTCTGACCATGTCTGCAGTATGGGTTGAACAAAGCTGAGCTTACACAAAGCCTGTCTGGTCAAAGACTGCAGTGCGTTTATACAATGTCTTAGTACCTGTGGTGAACATGCAGAATAACGCTCCAGAAAGTAATCCACATCATCCTCTAATAACCATACCAGGGACTCTACCTGGTCGGCACTAAATGGTGGCAAAAATTCATCCCTGCATTCGGGGGTACCAGATTAAACCAACTCAGCACAAACCTGAATCAATGGCTGCACCTCAGAGAATTCTGTGCCCTGATCTACTAGGCAATGAGCGATCCGTATACACTCTAGTAGTTGATCCCTGGGATACTCCTTCAGAGTCTGATAAGCATATTCTCTGTCATCAAACACTAGCAGAGATAAATACACCACCTCATCAAGATCCATCCTTCCCAGCAACAAGCCAAGATAGCTTCCCTGTGCAGCCACTTCTGGTCAGGATTGGCCTTGGTGTAATGTCAGGGCTCCAGGGTATGACCAGAGGTATGTGAACTGACGCAGGGAAACGCAGGCTTCAGATAAGTTATAAACAATATAATTTATTAAAGACTAACAATACAAACATAAACGCAGTGCAATACTAAAACATAACACAGTGCAAACGAACCAAACCACCCACAGATAACAGTACATAAAATGCAAGCGTCGTCAGGCAGGCCGGGTCAATAACAATCGGGCAGGTAGGTACAGGGGGTCAGGCAGAGAATGGTCGGGGTCACAAGCCAGGGATAAAACAGGAGAAGTCAGCAGAGGTCCGGATCAGGCAGGGTCAGCAACGCATCAGACAGAGACAGGGACAGGAACAGGGACAGGGACAGGAACAGGAACACAGGAACAAGATACAGGGCCCAGGAAAAACACACACCAAGGCAGAGACTGCAGGTCTGGCCATCCCTTAAATACACCTGCATAATCAACTTCAGGTGTTTGGCTGGCTGCAGAGTTGAGTCTCTGATTTCTGGGAGCACCCGCTGGCCAGCCCTGGTACTGCAGCCCACAAGGCAGGTCAGTCCCACCATTACTGGCAAGTCCATTCCTGACAGGTGTTCTCACTTCTGTGAGATACTGTATGTATTGTTTGTATGATTTGATATCAGATAGTGCTGTGGGAATAAGTTTTGATATTTGATGTTGTTTTTAATTACCTTTAAAGTCTTTTGATGACAAAAGTCAACTAACAAAGTATATTCCATAGGTTTTCACTCCTTAATACATCACTAGCTTCTGTCCAGTGGTAAAAGCAATAGTGATACAAGTTTTATGAAGTGTCAAGTGACCGGTTATTAAAAAAATAAAGGATTTAGCTAACTGGATATCCTTTAAAAATATATGATTCCATACATATGCCATGTTAATGTTTGTGAACTGATTATTTTGAAGTCCATACAGGGAAGCTTACCCCCATAAATAATACCCCCATAAACACACACACCTTTTAACTAGTATGCAGAGCTTTTCAACATGAAACCTAATCTAAATCATCCAAATACTTACCTAAATACTGAGTCTTGAGTCTTTGTGCTGCAGAAAAAGAGGGTCTTTCTTCAGGTGTCCTTGTTGCTGTAAGGTGATGTGGTTACTCCTGATTGGCTGTCAATTTGTGAGGTCTTCAGAGGTCCTGAGAACAGCAATAGCAGCATGGTGATATCACAATGTGGAGCAGTGAAGGGGCTTGTCAGCAGCAAACCCAGACTGGTTTTCCCTAAGAAGTACCAGAGAGGAACATATGGCTTCAGTCACGGTAAGTGGAAAAAGGCTTTGGCGGGCTTTTTTAAAAAATTGGTGAAGGATTGGGTGGGATGAGGGAGATTTTATTTTTTACCTAGAGATGAGCTTTAAAAAATGTTTATCATCATAATCGTCATAGTGATTTAAAAAGCACCCTTTTACAAGTCCACAGGTCTTCTGGAAATGCAGGATTCTATTCATACCATTGCTGCTCAAAGCATGATAAGTTTGGAAATTAATTTCCTCAGCACTGGCAGCTGACTAGAACTAAATGGTTAATGCATAAATGGTATTATAGCTATGGCTATAGTTTCGGCTGACATTTTTAATTGGGTTTGTCTGGCAGTTGTAATCCATTTCAGTTGCCTACATAGGCTTTATTATGTTTGGTGGATGTTTTCTAAGGTTGCATGATAGGCGTATTCAGAGGAAACCTTTCCTAAGATAATGTACTAACGTCTCACAATGCAAACCCAACTGCATAACAGCCATGCTGACCATCTTGCTTTAATAATTGACTCATTAACCCACAACTAATTTGAAGATAAGCATGTATGAATTTTATGATGTGTATAATTTCTTTTACAATAGCAAGCTTTTTTAATAAAGGAATAATAAGTTCAGAATGGGCTATACCTCTAGCAACCAATCAGGAACTATTTTTAATTGCTTTGGCTTCCTAAACTCATGAATATTCAACTCTCGTTGCTTTGGATTATCCCTTTTGCACATCACCACTGCTCAGTGTATTCACTTTAATAAATAAGGTCAGCTGTGTATTGACAAAGGCTGCCTACATTTATGATGCATCCAACTATGAGCTCTGGCATCCCAGATTTTCCAAGAACTCCAAGAGAACTGTGATCTCAATTATCGGGCACAGCAGTGGTGAAGATGTGGTTAAGGGATGGAAAATGTCACCAGTCATGCAGCAAACTTTAAACCCACAACTCTATTTATTTTAACAGTACTGTAGTGCTTTTCTAAATTATCTACTCTGGTAAATTACTCAATTGTGATATTTCCATTTAGCACCTGCTCGTTTTACATACGCTGGCAGTAATTGGGTTAATTGTCTGCTTTCACAGATAGCACATGATGACATTTTTCTCATTTAAGGTCATCATCATTGTTATCAGCTATGTTTTGGCAGCTTGAATTAGAAGAATTGCAGGCAAGGCTTTGTTGACCCACTTCTTTCTGCTTAAGGCCAATGGCTATTGAATCCTTTTTCAGGCATGTGCAACACACAGCCAGATGGTTACTTTACAAGACATACATTGTGTATGAACATCCTCTGCCGTTTCTTGCTGTATCTCATCCTCAGGACTGGCCTTTGTTTTACCTTGTTCTCCAGCTGTGCTGTCTGCACTTCTCCTGTTTAATGTTATCTTGTATAGTGGCATCTTTCATATATTATGCACCTCCTCTGCCCCGCCCCCCCTGAAAAAATGTTTATGTATATCCCACCTATTCTCACTAAAGAAGCCTCAAGCTTTTATTTAACAAATACTGGTACTACATTAATACTTGTTGAAAATGTCCAGCAGCACTGTGATACATTGCAGCATTAATCAAGCACATTTGAGTTATTGGTGTCTTTTTAACAAAATTTCAGATTGAAACCATAAAAAGGAATCTTGATCTACCAAGCTGTGACTAAGGCTATGAATCAATGAATCTTTGCCAATAGAACAATATGGGGTTTATTTACTAAAGCTGGAGAGTCCAAAATCAGACTCCCTTCTGCATAGAAACCAATCAGCTTCTAACTTCAGCTTGTTCAATGAAGCTTTGGCAATGAAACCTGGAAGTTGATTGGTTTCTATGCAGAAGTGAGTCTGATTTTGGACTCTCCAGCTTTAGTAAATAAACCCCTATATGTCCATTGTGAATCTGTAAAACATTTACAGTCTTTTGCACATGGTGAAGCAGTGGCTAAAAGCCATAAAGTACAGATTGGCAGACAGCAGAACTATTGTAGCCATAAATTTACTTTTTCAAAATGCAAATTGGCTCTACTATATAAGCAGTCACATTAAAGAAAATTTATAATATACAGGAACTAAAGCCCAAACTATTTTTTTTTGTTGTTTTGGTTAGAGTGTTAAAGTGCTGAAGCCTTTGCCAGGTTGTCTTTGCTGTGTTCTTGCTGGGGGGGGGGGGGATTCAAACTCTCTATTTGTCCTTGTCACCATTGTCACTGGGAAAGTGAGATGAATCACAAAATTTAAAATTGTCACCAGAACAAGGATAGAGAGGAAATCTTCCAATGGTGACACCTGGTTTGATGACAACTGTCTACTAGGGGAATTGCCTTACTAAGAAGGGATTTCTTATCATCAGTGGAACGCAGGTAAAACCTGACTAGGGTTTTAACCACTTGCCTACAAGTGGTTAAAACCCTGCCCAGGCCAATTTTCAGCTTTCAGCGCTGTCACATTTTGAATGACAATTGCGCGGTCATGCAACACTGTACCCATATGAAATTTTTATAATTTTTTTGAGACAGATAGAGCTTTATTTTGGTGGTATTTAATCACCTCTGGGTTTTTCATTTTTTTTGCTAAACAAACCAAAAACTACTGAAAATTTTGAAAAAAAAAATGTTTTTTCTTAGTTTTTGTTATACAAATTTTGTAAATAAGTGATTTTTCTCCTTCATTGATGTGCGTTAATGATGCTGCAAGGATGAGCACTGATAGGCTGCACTGATGGGCACTAATAGGTGGCACTGATGGGCATTGACAGGCATCACTGATGGGCACTGAAAGGCAGCACTCATATATGGCACTGATAGGCGGCACTGACTGGCATTGATAGGTGGCACTGGCTAGCATTGATAGGTGGCACTGACTGGCACTGATAGGTGACACTGAAAGGAAGCTCAGATGGGCACTGATATGTGGCATTGATGTGCAATGGTAGGCACTGATATGTGGCATTGATGAGGCTCTGATGGGCACTGGCAGGTGACATTGATGAGCACTGAAAGCTGGCATTGATGAACACTGACAGTAGTCACTGCTGGGGCTACTGACAGGTGTCCCCTCCAAGGAATACTGATTACTGGCTCTCCTCTCCTCATGAGCTGTCGCTCAGTGGTCCAAAGTCTTCTCTTCAGATAAAAGTATATTTTGCATTTCATTTGGAAATCAAGGTCCCAGAGTCTGGAGGAGGAATAGAGAGGCACAGAATCCAAGTTGCATGAGGTCCAGTGTGACATTTTCACAGTCAGTGATGATTTGAGGAGCCGTATCATCTGCTGGTGTTGGTCCACTGTGTTTTATCAAGTCCAAAGTCAGCGCAGCCCTCTACCAGGAAATTCTAGAGCACTTCATGCTTCCCTCTGCTGACCAGCTTTATGGAGACGCTGATTTCATTTTCCAGCAGGACTTGGCACCTGCTCAAATTGCCAAAAGTACCAATGCCTGGTTTAATGATCATGGTATCACTGTGCTTGATTGGCCAGCACACTCGCCTGACCTAAACCCCATAGAGAATCTGTAAAGTATTGTCAAGAGGAATATGAGAGACACCAGACCACACAATGCAGACAAGGTGAAGGCCACTATCAAAGCAACATGGACTTCTATAACACTTCAGCAGTGCCACAGGCTGATTGCCTGAATACCACACTGCATTGATGCATTAATTCATGCAAAAGGAGCTCCGACCAAGTATTGCGTGCATATTATACTGTACATACTTTTCAGTAAGCCAACATTTCTGTTTTTAAAAATCTTTTTTTTATTGGTCTTACGTAATATTCTAATTTTCTCAGTTACTGAATTTTGAGTTTTTCACTAGCTGTAAGCTATATTCATCAAAATTAAAAGAAAGAAATGCTTGAAATATATTATTGTGTGTAATGAATATATAATTCTATACAATAACTATATACAGTGCATCCAGAAAGTATTCACAGTGCTTAACTTTTGCCACATTTTGTTATGTTGAAATCTTTGTAATTTATTAAAAATAAAAAACGAAAAAAAAACACATGTACATAAGTATTCACAGCCTTTGCTCAATACTTTGTTGAAGCCCCTTTAGCAACAATTACAGCCTCAAGTCATTTTGAATATGATGCTACCAGCTTGGCACACCTATTTTTGGGCAATTTCTTCCATTCTTCTTTGCAGTACCTCTCAAGCTCCATCAGGTTGGATGGGGAGCGTCGGTGCCCAGCCATTTTCAGATCTCTCCAGAGATTTTCAATTGGGTTCAAGTCTGAGCTCTGGCTGGGCCACTCCAGGAAATTCACAGAGTTGGCTCGGAGCCACTCCTTTGTTATGTAGGCTGTGTGCTTAGGGTCATTGTCCTGTTGAAATATGAACCATCGCCCCATTTCTAAGGTCAATAGTGCTCTGGAACAGGTTTTCATCAAGGATGTCTTTGTACATTGCTGCATTCATCTTTTCTTTCAGTCCTGATTAGACTCCCAGTTTCTGCCGCTGAAAAATATAACCACAGCATGATGCTGCCACCACGCTTCACTGTAGGAATGTTATTGGCTAGGTGGTAGGCGGTGCCTGGCTTCCTCCAGACATGACACTTGGCATTCAGGCCAAAGAGTTCAATCTTTTTTCAACAGACCAGAGAGTTTTTTTACTCATGGTCTGAGAGTCCCTCAGGTGCCATTTGCCTTTTTACTGAGGAGTGGCTTCCGTCTGGCCACTCTACCATACAGGTCTGATTGGTGGAGTGCTGCAGAGATGGTTGTTCTTCTGGAAGGTTATCCTCTCTCCACAGAGAAATGCTGGATATCTTTCAGAGTGACCACCAGGTACTTGGTTACCTCCCTAAGGCCCTTCTCCCTCGATCGCTCATTTTGGCCTGGTGGCCTGCTCTAGGAGGATTCCTGTTGGTTCAAAACTTCTTCCACTTATGGATGATGGAGGCCACTGTCATCATTGGGACCTTCAAAGCTGCAGAATTGTTTCTGTACCGTTCCCCAGATCTGTGCCTTGATATAATCCTGTGTCACGGTCTGGGTCAGGTTCAGAGACCAGTTGCTACAGCAGTGTAAGGCTTACCTGAAACCAGCAGGATAGGTACACCAGCGGGTCCCCCTGGGAATGACACAGGCTCACCTAAGGTGCGGGGTTTAAGTATTAACCGGTTTTCACCAGAGCTCCTAATGGTGGAGATGGATTTGGCTGCGTGTTAATACCAGGTCACAGATCTCAGGATCACCCCACCAGGGAATGAGCAAGCTGGAAACCAATAGTGGATCAAACAGTTTAGGGATCAAACGGAAGCAGAGTCAGTCACAAGCCAAGGGTCAGTCACAAATGGTAGTAGATTAGGATGAGGCAAAAATCGTAGTCAGTAGCAAGCCAAAGGTCGGTAACGAAGATGTAGACAGCAGCAGGAACGATAAGTGGGATATTGGCTGGCAAGGCACAATAATCTGGCAAGGAGGAAGTGCATGGACATGGCTTTTATAGGAAGTTCATGGGAGGAGCAAGGAGTTCAAGGTTCAAGACAAACAGGGCCAAGGCAGGATAATCCAAAGAATTGTCAAGGGAGCTGTCTAGCATTCCAGGTGGCTCAGTGAGGAGAACCATTGTCTCTCACCGCAGAAGGCCCAGGTTCAATCCCAAGCTCTGACATCCTGTCTCGGAGGACTACAGACAATTCCTTGAACTTCATGGCTTGGTTTGTGCTCTCACATGCGCTGTTAACTGGGGGACCTTATATAGACAGGATTATGCCTTTCCTAATCATGTCTAATCAACTGACTTTCCCACAGGTGGACTCCAATCAAGTTGTAGAAACATCTCAAGGATGATCAGTGGGAACAGGATGCACCAGAGCTCAATTTTGAGTGTCATGGCAAAGGCTGTGAATACTTATGTACATGTGTTTTTTTTTTGTTGTTTATTTATAATAAATTGCAAAGATTTCAAAAAGAACTTCTTTCATGTTGTCATTATGGGGTATTGTTTGTAGAATGTTGAGGAAAAAAATGAATTAAATCAATTTGGAATAAATCTGTAACATAACAAAATGTGGCAAAAGTTAAGCTCTGTGAATACTTTCTGGATGCACTATAATATATGAGTTTCACTTTTTGAATTGAATTACTGAAATAAACTTTTTGATAATATATGATTATTAAGATGCATCTGTACTTTAGACATAACCTCAAAGCTATTCAAGACATATGTACAACAAGACCAGAGTGGACAGTCACATCCTGAAATCAGGGTGGTTGTGTCTTTTCTCTAGTGAGATGGGATTTTGTGTGTGTGTGAACAACGGGAAGGAAAGTATTTGAATACAATACAAGGTACTAAAATGTACACAGTTTTATTAGTTCATCAATTAAAAGTGAAGAAAACTTCACAGTTAAAACCAAGCAGTATATAGGTGTCACATCAGCATATGGTTAACAACGGTATTGCAAAAATACATAATGAGCTTATAGAATCAACGCATTTCGCTGTAGTTGCTTCTTCAGGATCCATGCTTCTGATGAACCACTGCAATCAATATAAGATATACAAACATAAAATACAAAAACAAACATTTATAATATACATACATCAAATAGCCTGATGAATAACAGTTAATGGACAAAAGTTTAGAAAAGAAAAAAAAAAGGGTAAAGGTAAAATAAAAAGTGGGGGAGGTGGGGGAGGGGGGAGGGGGAAAAAAAACTAAAAATCTGGGACAGCATATCCCCACCTAAAAGGGAGGGTGACCCATGGGGGAAACTGTGAGAGGAGGGCCAAAAGAGGCATTCACCTGCAGCACATGGTCATGTATATCTGTATTTATGCCATAACACTTACCTCTATCACCAGTAGATATTTTAAAGGGTTGGACTCTTGTGCAGAAACATTCATTAATATGGAGGGGGGAGTGGATACTCCGTAGGTGAGATATCTTTAATGGGTGTGGCAGATATAATGCAATATCATCCTCTATAGAGACAAAAAGCAAAAAGAAACAGATATAACTTTACCCTTATAAACCACATCTATGCTCTCCCTCGCCCACCAATTTCACCTCATGTCTGTGCAAAGCACAGGTTAAAGTTGTCTCCAGAGGGTACTAGGCAGGGATGGTGAGTTTCCCCTGTCACTGCTTATCTACACATGCCTTGTCCATTACTCACCAATCATATAGGAGAGTAGCTGTCAAGCCTAAAAAATTACCTATGACACCAAACAAGAAAGGAAGGACAAAACTCACTTGCCTGCCCATAATAAGATCTCACATTTACATAGTTCCACTGGACATCCAACATAAGTGTCACAGTATAGGGAAAAATCAAGAAAATCAAGAAATTCAAGCTCACCAAATCCACAAGTTATGTCCATCCACACACATGCACCATTTTCTGCAGGAGACCACCAAGTCAAAGAATGCTACTCCTCTCTTTAGCCCTTTATATATAATATCCATCTTCAACAGATGCCACCTCCTGTCCCTCCTGTCCCCCAGTGTTTCACCCTAAAAAGGCCTCTCCCACATGGTCAGTGTGGAAGTGGCGGTGGAACACTTTCACACATATGTTGGGTCATCTCAAAATGGCGGCACTCCAATGTCATATCTGGCATTCAGCACCGTAAGTATCAAGGGTGCCATCTTGGAATCTCTCTATTGAGGATTCCAATAGCAAAAACAAAAGACACAATCTACCATACCCAGTGTTACCCAAAAAGAAATCGCTTGCAGCCGCCATCCCGGTTCAAACCCAAAATCAAGTGGGCCAACAGCCACAACCAACCAGAAGGAAAATAGAGGAAAAACATATCAATTAGTAAATATACCTTCCTAAATATACAGCCATGGGTCAACATACAAAGGAGTTAAAGGGTATGTCTGCACCAGACTGAAAAGGAAAACAAAAAAATAACTTTTTTTTTCTTTTCAGTCAAATCAATTGTAGTGGTTCTAAGAAAATTGTTTTGTTTGTGTCTACTGTGACCTCTAGATCCTATTTGCTAAAGCCCTTTATCACTTGAACACCCCATCACCCAACAGCCATG